TAAATCATAAATTCAGACTCGGAATAAGAATAATAAGAAATACTTTAATCTTGGCAAATACTCTGTACACAATATGGACACATTTCAGATGTAATGAAATTTCAGTTCATTTGGTATTCATTGCATATCATAAATACATGGCTGTAAACTTACAAAATATAAGGGCTGCAGTGATCAGGTTCTCTTCTTAAAATTGAAAACGTTCTTTTATTGCTATATATCATGTATCTTCAAAGAATATTTATTTATACACTGATAGAAGTGTCTGTGACTGGTATGCCAGTTTGCATTACAAAATTGTGATTTTGACATTTTCAACATGTCACAGAGTTCAGGATTTCAATGCATATCTCTCTCCTATACAAGTAGCTCTTAGCATCAAGGCTAACATCAAATCACAAGACCACTTTGTTTATACATGCAGGCATTCAGCATAAGGCATACAAAACTTGGTACACATCTATACTGATAGATAAAATGGAAGAAGATGAAGAAAAAACAAAAACATTATCAAGTACTGGAATAATCCCTGAATTGCAGATATAATACATGTACAGTTGGGCCCAATATACATCATCACAGTTTCTCTTAATCCTGCCAACTTTTCACTTCAGGAAGACAAATATTGTCTCTGTCTATAGTAGGTATTATTAAGTTCACAAGTGCGAATTGGCACCTTCAACTGCACCCCGCAGTAATAAATGAAAGTCCTTCCCCGCGTGGATTTTTTAACACTGACCTGGCTTGCTGCCGACAGAGTCGGCAAAAATAAAAAAATTCTTGGCCCCCCAAAAAGGGATGCGACTTATACAAGGAGATTTACAGTTATATACAAAACATAAGGCAAACAAAACTTGGTACACATCTATCTACTGATAGTTCAAATGGAAGAAGACAAAGAAAAAAAAAAAACATAATCAAGTACTGGAAAAATTCCTGAATTGTAGATATACATACCGGTACATGTACAGTTGGGCCCAATATACATGAGCAGAAGGTCATTGCAGACCAAATTGTGAAAAAAAACTGAATTACACGGAGACAGAATACTGGATACATGCTCATGAAAGTTATGTAATCGTTGTTCAATTATGCACAAGCAGTACACTCCATGATACACAGGTGGAAGCATTCTTCGAAAAGGGAAAACAAAGGCTATTTATGTAGCACCTCCATCGCTGAAGGAGTGATTATTTCAAAATGTACAAAGTGGGACCTCTTCATGTTTTGAAGATCTGTGGATATTCAGGGTCATTTAGGACATGTGCTAACCATGAACTGGTCTATTTCACTCACTCCTGCCAACTTTTCACTGCAGGAAGATAGACAAAATTTGTCTCTGTTTATAGTATATACAAAGCATAAGGCACATACAACTTGGCACACATCTACTGATAGTTAAAATGGAAGAAGACAAAGAAAAAACAAAAACATTATCAAGTACCGGAATAATCCCTGAATTGTAGATATACATACCGGTACATGTACAGTTGGGCCCAGTATACACATTATCACAATTTCACTCATTCCTGCCAACTTTTCACTTCAGGAAGTTAGACAAATATGGTCTCTGTTTATATATACAAAGCATAAGGCACATACAACTTGGCACACATCTACTCAGAGGCCTGATAGTTAACATTGAAGAAAAAACAACAACACTATTAAGTACTGGAATAATCCTTGAATTGTAGATATACATACGTGTACAGTTGGGCCCGATATACAGTATCACAATACACTCTTTCTTGTCAACTATTCATTTCAGGAAGATAGAAAAATGTTGTCTCTGTTTATGGTATATACAAAGCATTGAGGCACACAAAGCTTGGTACACATCTACTGATACTTAAAATGAAAGAAGACAAAGAAAAAAAAAAACATTATCAAGTACTGGAATACTAATCCCTGTAATGTAGATATACATACATGTACAGTTGGGCCCAATATACACATTATCACAATTTCACTCATTCCTGCCAACTTTTCACTTCAGGAAGATAGAAAAATATGGTCTCTGTTCAATATATATAGTATATACATCACAAATCACTCAGAGACGAGTGACTCCAGATGGGAATGAGTGCAGTCGAGAAAATCTGAGTAAAATGAGTTTCTTCCAGGTGCATGTAAACTTTCGGGCCCACTGTGTATACTGAACTTGTGTGAACCTGAACAGAATGCATACAATTAAGTACAACATGGTAATGTAGATACTTAATAAAAAAAACAGTAACAATACAAAATGTCCTCGTGGTCACTGGTCAATATTGCATTCTGGGGACTCTTCTATAAAAAGTTGGAATCAAAATGACATTTTCAACCAATCAGGGTCGCATATTTAGTAATTGAATTTACTTTTTGAGTTGTGTTTGACATTGCAACTTTTAAAGCAAGTGGGCCCTCGTAATAGAATCCCACTTCCAGACAAACTAGCTCATATTAACCCTGGGCCCTGTTTCATAAAACTTGTTATCAATAATAAGTGTCACATTTCTATGACAAATTTGCTCTCAGCCAATCAAATGCAACAATTTCATTAGCTTTCAATAGTTATTGCAACTTGTTATTGATAACAAGTTTCATGAAACAGGGACCCGATTTCAAATTTCTGATTCTGGCTTTGTGTTCATTTTTTTAGCTTACTATAACAAGTGCACACAAAAATAAAGAACTTCAGTAAGTCATCCTTCAGAGCTAGTTTTTTCTTAATTGCTAAGGATCGAGCATTACATCTTGGAATATCAAGTAACACTACTAGTTGACCAGATGCTTGTGACAGGTGGTAAGAAAAGTGTAAAAAAAGAATTTACTGTTGTTTGACAATATAATGTCAGCTATAAAATGTTATAATGAAACGGCCGCAAAGTGTATTGCTAGAACAACTCTATCAGAGTACCGGTTATTAATTGAATGATTGATTTTTGCTCAGGTATAAGCTTTTCTTGTATTTTAGTTTGACCAAGTGATGTCAATAATATGTTGCTTAAAAAATATAAAAGAAAAGAAATCATGAAAAATATTGCTTTTGGTGTTTATTTCATTGAATGCTTTTTATTGAGTTAATGTTTAAAGTCATTGTCAGTCATATAAAACAATTTAACAATTCAATAGCGGTATATAATTTATTTTTGCTTAGGTAGTCTATAAGCTTTTCGATCAAGTGATGTCACTATGAAACTCTGCATGATTGTAGATATGTTGTGTGTTTTAACATGAAAGTTTGCTATTGTATAATCAAGGAACCCTGTGGATTGGAAAAAAAAGTGCTTGTCACAAAAGTTGTGATGGTAGGTAAACATTTGATCCTATGATCCAGGCTTTACTTCATGAAATGTATAGGGTTAGGGTGTCACTTTATTTTCATTTAAAGGGATAGTTGAGTTCTGTTTTCAGACCGCAAATGCCTTAAAAGTGCATGGTTATTGCTCTTATTATTATCTATGACATTTATAGTGCCCTTTTAGAACCTAAAATTGCTATGAAGGTAATTTTAGACCCCAAAATGTGTGAAATTTAGCCAATACGATCATACCAATTCAGCTCCACTTTAAAAAAAAACATGGTGACTGATAATTAATGATTTAATTGAAAATAACAATACATGAGCTGGCTCATTGTGGGTAATATAAGCAACACAAAAATGCTAACAAAAAAGCCAACATCGGCATTGACTGAATTACGACGTAAAAGGCGTTATTTCATTTTTTTCAACGTTTTTTTTTTTTTAATTTTTCAAATTTTTCAAATTATCTAATATTTGTGGTGGTACACAAGTACAAGTGTATTAGAAATCGTTATATTTCAGCCGTCTCTGAACCGATTTTGATCAAACAAAGATGATTTTGTCATTTAAATATTATGTTCTTTCAAATTTGACACTCAGTTTTTCATTATCTCACAAAAAAATTATTTTGTGTAGCGCCCTCTGCAACAGAACTCAACTATCTCTTTAAGGCAATAATGTTCAGGGTTACGAATATGTACACATAATAGGATATATCTACTGTGTATGAATATAACGTTGCTATGTGGTGATAAGCAGACGTATAATACGCGCCGCCTCCAAAAATATAGACTTACTAAATGTGTGATCAGCATATCTCTGAATTACATCAAATGTGGTGTTTCACTACTAGTGTTATATCATTTCACTTTACCTTTAAAATACAGTGTAAGGTCTGAGGCTGAACTCAGAAGATAGTGTAGGAAACCCAAGTAGAAAAGTTGTTGTAGGAGCAAGTGTCGTACAACTGTCTTGGAGATAGTTCTATATGATCGAGCAGCACCTAATCCTGCTGGAAAAATCGTTGCAGGAGCAATTGTCGTACAGCTGTCTTGGAGATAGTTCTATATGATAGAGCAGCACCTTATCCTGCTGTGCGATCTGGATGGTTGTACACTACCCATGAGTGATGGCTCATCCTCCTGGTGTGAGAAGTCACAAGCATTCTCCCTGGACTGATGTGGCTGAAGGTATTCTGATGGCTGTGATGTCGAACTTAGCTCATGCTCCTCGTTCGAGAAGTCACTAGCATCCTTCCTGGAATGATGTGGCTCTTGAAGGTGTTCTGATGGCTGTGATGTCAAACTTAGCTCATCCTCCTGGTATGAGAAGTCACAAGCATCCTCCCTGGAATGAAGTGGCAGTTGAAGATATTCTGATGGCTGTGATGTCGAACTTAGCTCATGCTCCTCGTTTGAGAAGTCACTAGCATCCTTCCTGGAATGATGTGGCTCTTGAAGGTGTTCTGATGGCTGTGATGTCAAACTTAGCTCATCCTCCTTGTGAGAGAAGTCACAAGCATCCTCCCTGGAATGATGTGTCTCTTGAAGGTGTTTTGATGGCTGTGATGTCCTACTTAGCTCATGCTCCTCGTGTGAGAGATGGTGAGCATCTTCACTGGATTGATGTGGCTCTTGAAGGTATTCTGATGACTGTGATGTCCTACTTAGTTCATGCTCCTCGTTTGAGAAGTCATGAGCATCGTCACTGAACTGATGTGGCTCTTGAAGGTATTCTGATGGCTGTGATATCCGAATTCTTCACTCATGCTTCAGCAATGTGAGTGCAAGAGTATTCACCCTGAATTGATGTTGAGGAAAGAAGATAAAATATATGTTTGGGGAATAGGATCTGGGCTCTGTAACATATGAAGTGACTGACAATCAATTGGAAAAATTTGTTGTATCTTCAGTTTTGCTACAATTTATTGTATCTGACTAAGCATCTGTAACATGAAATTATTGGTAAGTTGCTATTTATTATAATATCACGATTGATTGAATGAATTACATGTACAATCAACATTAGGGAGATACTGTTTATCATAATTGTCATGTTACAGGCCCCAGGCTTGATATCTTGAAATTGATGTTATCTTTTATGCTAGTGAAAGAGTGTTTCCTGTGTATTATAGCAAAGATAAAAAAGAAAAGCCATCGGTTAATTTCTACACAAAGAGGGCTATGTAAATGTAAATTAAAGAGATAAATCTGCACAAACACCTATATTTAGTGTCTATTCCATGAAATTTCAATTTATGATAATTAACATAAATTTCACTATTTAAAAATAATAACTTTTGGGAAGCCTTGCATTCATAGAGAAATGAGGAGAGGGGAAATGAAGCAAAAGTGCTTAATAGAAAGTAATACATGAAAACTGATATAATGTGCATGATAATATAAAAATGAGTTACTTATAGGATCTATCCACACTCGAGTTGATGCTGTATGCATCTATCATACAAAGACGTCAGGCAGAGTATGATATGTGCATAAACAACCTCAACAAGAGGGGATAGATCCTGTAATGAATACGTGAAAACATGCATCATTTGTTTTATTCAACACAAATCCTAGATCCTTGTTATTTGATGTAGAAAGACTTAATTTAAAGATTGCTTTCTGTTATTATTAATTTAGTGCACACAAAGATATAGGCGCACTTACCTCTCCAAGCATCAATGCACAGTGCTACACATGTAATAATCTACACACAGTATATAAAGCACAATAAACTCTACATGCACTGCTGCATATTGTGTACTTAAAGGTCATTAAATAGTACTGGAAACTACTGCATGCTTTTTCATGGAAAAACATGTGATATTCTCAGTAAATGAATCACATGTGATCACGTTTCACCAATCATTTGATTAGGATCTAGGAGAGAGTTGGATAATAAAGTTAATTTGTAATTCATTATGTTTGGTTCACTTACGATCGACAGTCAGTGAGCGACTGCAGGAATGAATCGATATCCGCTTGGGAATCTCCATTGAACCTGAAATTTCCGTTCCTGATTTGAGGAAAGGAACCCTGAAAAGAATATTGATATATGAGCAAGATTAGTGATAGTGATTCATGTAATTTTCCTCCATTCCAGTCTTCTTGACATACTCATACCATATACATGGTCAGTACGTACTCTTTCTGGCATATAGACTTAGTGTCCTTGTTACACTGACACCTCCAGTACGCCCCCCCCCCCCACTACCAAATACACACACATACAAAACAGCTATATTGAACTGGTCAATATTTCAACTAAACTTTACGCTAAACCCCTCGGCCTCCTCCCTCCCTCCCCCACCAAATGCACATAAACAAAACAGCTATGTTGAACTGGTCAATATTTCAACAAATATTTATGCTGACACCCCCTTACACCGACCGACCAACCAACCATCTAATTTAGCACATCGACACGGTTTTGATTCTGGGGCCTCACAGTTACGAGGCCATTGCTTTGTCACTGAACCATGACTGTACGCAGCGGGGGCTAGGGTAGGGGGCAGTTTCCATAAATAAAAATAAAAAAAGAAAGTGCAATAAATTTTCAATAATTTATTGCATTTTACCCCGCTTCCCAACATAAAAAAATCCTCTGTGTGTCCATGCCTTGCGCCATAATGCATGGCCGTCCAGAGGATTCTGATGAATACCAAAGCAAGTCATGACAAAGAAAGCATCCTAAAATAACTTTTTGTTCACCTTGAATGACTAATTCAAGAAGGGTTACCTTAATCAAGGATTGAGAAATTATAATAATATTTACCGGGTTAAGATTTATTTTTTGAGGTATGAATCACAATGAATGACATTTTTGTTCACATTTGCTACTCACATGAACAAATCAATTTTAAAATTAAATTTACATTGCAATCATTTTCAAACTCATTTCATTGCTCAATGGGTCCTCGACACACAAGCTTTGCTTGAATAGAAACTTGGTACAAGGAGATATTGACCATTTTGTTGTTAAAACCCTGGCGTTCAGTCATCTGTGTTAGGTATTACATGAATAGTGTATCATTGGATAGGATATAAGTTACTCTTTATCATGACATACATTGCATGACCACAAAGATTGTAACTTTTTATATGAAGCTACCAAAGTTGGTAAAACTTTTTTTGATATGCACTGTAGAGTACAAACACACTTACATGTACATACCTGTAAGGCCTTTGCATTCAGTGTAGCAAAGAACTCCTCCTGGAAAATTCCACCTAGTGTCAGGTCAGTCAGCTTTGGCATGGAACACAAAGCTTCTGCTAGGTTAATTGAAGAGGCGGATGTTGGACACTGAACATCCCATAGCTCGAGAGTTTGGACCTACATGTATACAAACAATGAATCATACAAGTACGCTACCAGAGTACGTTTTTTCCTGAATGACTTAGAATATAACTGGGTGCTTAGGTATACATGTCTGTGTTTGGTTATGCTCAGGTGACAATTGCTCTCGGCTAATATTAGTCAACCTATATAGGATTTGGAAATGGGCTGCAAATAGGTTTGAGCTTAGGTTTAGTGATAGGTATACTTTTTTGTGCGAAGATAAAGTTAAGAATTTGGTTAGTGCAGGGTAGTAAGCACAGAAAATGATGAAGAATGTGTCAAAATACAGGAAAACTGACAATTACAGCCGGAGTGCATATAATTACTACATACGACATAGTGATGAATTCAAGGAATATCTTCTTGCGGGTAGCCACTTTAATACTACACCTAGGTTGAGTGAGCAAATGTAGATTAATGTCTTGTCTACGAACATACGTACGGCAGGAAATTGAACTTCATACCTCTTGGTCCAATGACCAGAGACTTATCCACTGGACAACATAAACCTCTACATGAACCTTGGTGGATGCCCATTATTTTAGAATGTATATTAATCATATGATTGATTTAAATAAATAGAGTTGTATTTGTGTATAGAGAATTAGATAATCAAATAAGTAAATACCGCTTTTACGATTATTTAGACACATTTGTGACACTGCCTGAATGATATAATACATTCATGCCTAAAAGTATGCATTATACATGAATGTGTATGTAGAGTACATGGAGCTGAGCTCAAAATAAATACACTGTGAATCTGAAGTATACTTCAATTATTGATACTGCTTTAAGACCCATGACATAATTCCAGCCTTATGAATGCTCTGAACTTAAAAATTTAAAATTTACAAACAAAATTGTTTGTTTCTACTACACTGTCGTTCATAAAGTTGGAATATTTTTGTTTTACCCCAATTTATGGAATTATTTTAAAAATAATTTAAAAATAATAGATCTAGATAATAGTAAACATTCTCAGGATTTATTGAACAATAATTTGACAATGTGTGTTTTGCGTGACTGCTAAAACATGTGTATGCTACTATGCTTATCAACTAGGGGACCTACGCCAGTAAGTCATAAATGACAGTAATGAGGATTAATGCCCCACAAAAGGGCACTAATATAGCACATCGACACGGTTTTGATACTGGGGCCTCAGAGTTACGAGGCCATTGCTTTGACACAGAAGCTTTGATTTAATAGAAACTTGGTACAAGGAGATTTTGACCATTTTGTTGTTAAAACCCTGGCGTTCAGTCATCTGTGTTAGGAATTACATGAATAGGGTATCATTGGATAGGATATGAGTTTCTCTTTATCATGACATACATTGCATGACCACAACGATTATAACTTTTTATATGAAGCTCCTAAATTTGGTAAAACTTTTTTTGATATGCACTGTAGAGTACAAACACACATACATACATGTAAGGCTTTCGCATTCAGTGTAGCAAAGAACTCCTTCTTGAACTCCTTTCCACTTAGTGTCAGGTGAGTCAGGTTTGGCATGGAACACAAAGCTTCTGCTAGGTTAATTGAAGAGGCGGATGTTGGACACTGAACATTCCATAGCTCGAGAGTTTGGACCTACATGTATACAAACAGTGATTCATACAAGTACACTACCAGAGAACACGTCATTTCCTGAATGACTTAAAATTAAGCTGGGTGCTTAGGTATACATGTCTGTGTTTGGCTTTGCTCAGGTTAAAGCTCTCGGCTATATTTAGTCAAATGTATAGGATTGGGATACGGGCTGCAAATAAGTTTGAGCTGAGGTTTAGTGATTGGTATACTTTTTGGTGTAGGGATATAAAGTTAAGAATTGGGTTAGTTCAGGATAGTATGCACAGAAAATAGTTCACGGAGCATTTTTCAAAAAACAGGAGGACTGACAATTACAGCCAGAGTGCATTTAATTACTACATATGACATAGTGATGGATTCAAGGAATATCTCCTACCAGGTAGCCACTACTACACCTAGATTGAGTGTGGCAAATGTAGATAAATGTCTTGCATATGAACATTAGTGCTACATATGGCAGGGATTGAACCTTATACCTCTTGGTTCAATGTCCATGCAGAGACTTATCCACTGGACAACATACACCTCTACATGAACCATGGTTGATGCCCATTTAAAAAAAAAAGTATATGATTCATAAGATTGATTAAAATAAATAGAGTGGTAGATGTGTTTGGAGAAATAAATAATCAAAGAAGTATAACTACCGCTTTGTCGATTATTTAGACACATTTTTGACACTGCCTAAATGCTATATTTCATTTCATTTATTGGTTCAACCATTTTTTAAACAACATTCAGAAATACAAACAATGTTCGAAGGACATATACAACGCATGATGGACATACAAAGTAAAAAAATGGTTAGGGGGAGAAGCTTAAGCTTGTAAGTGGGGTTCCCTGTACAATAAACAAGTAAAAATGAATGGCAAAATCCAGATAATACTAGTAAGCTAAAACAAACTAAACCATTGCACCCGTCAGCATTCACCGGCTATTACATTACACCGCACAGGCAGAACAATGGGCTCAGCAGACTAAGCCCACTTGACCTGGTCGAGGCAGCGCCTCAGTGTATCCAATGAACACCTACCGGTGCTATGTAATACAAAATCATGTGAAAAAACAAACACCCATACACACACACGCGAGAGGGAGATAGAGAAGGGAAGAAGGGGGCAGGAGAGTAGGAAAGGAATAAAGAGAGATGAAGAATTGAAGAGAAAATATTGCACAAACTATTATGAAGATTATTTAAGTGAGAGCAGAAAAGCATTATGACAATATAATACATTCATGACTAAAAGTATGCATTAAACATGAATGTGTATGTAGAGTATGTAGAGTGAGTACATGGAGTTGTGCTCAAAATAAAAACACTGTGATCTAGATCTCCATTCTTGTTTAGTGAGTATGGCATCTGAAGTATACTTTGATACTGCTTTCAGACCCATGGTGACACGATTCCAACCTTAAGAATGCTCTGAACTTAAAAATACAAAATTTACAAAACAACAAATATTTGTATCTACTAGTCTTTAGAGCGTTTTAGTAATCCGTTTATAATGAAATTGTATTTCTGCATTTAGTAGCAACACAACACTTTTTTTCTCCCAAAAATGCTTACTTGAAGACCTTCAGTTGGTCTTCATCAAAAAAAGAAATACCTTTCCGGAGGTAAACCTTTAAAAATGATTTTTTTTTTTCTTTTTCTTTTGTTGCAGAGCATTATATTTTCAACTAAAGCTATATAAATTCAGTATCATACACTGCATATGAAAGACCCTCTTCATAAATGAGGTTTCTTTGTCTCCTAAGATTTTTATATATTTTCATACAAAACATTACACACATTGAAAATATATTGACTACTGGTATTACTAAAATATCAGAACTCCTTAAACTCATTTCCACTGCAACATGTGTACATGAATTCATCATGGCATGGATATAGAGTAAAAACATACATACATACCTGTAAGGTCGGCGCCTTTGCATTCAGTGTAGAATAGAACTCCTCCTGGAAATTGCTACTCTCTAGTTTCAGTTTAGTCAGGTTAGGCATGGAACAAAACGCTTCTGCTAGGTTAATTGAAGAGGCGGATGTTGGACACTCAACACTCAATAGCTTGAGAGTTTGGACCTACATGTATACAAACAGTGATCCATACAAGTACATTTAATACCAGAGTACATGTATTTCGTGAATGACTGCAAATATAACTGGGTTCTCCAATATACATGTATGTGTATACATGGCTTTATGCTCATGGTGACAAATGCTCTGGGCTATACAGTGCGTCCCAGAAAAAACGAAACCAAGAAGTATCGATGTTCTATCATAACTTAATCACAACTATAATTAATGAATGATACATATTTGGAAAGCTTAGAGTCTCCTCTTTCATGTGATGCTACTCAGATGATGCATATTTCACGCATGAGTGATTAAAAGCAATTTGAAGGAAGGAAACCAAAAATACATTTGGCGGGCGGTATCTGAATTTCGAAGAAAAATTCACATTTCTAGAAAGTTGAGTTTCTGCCCTTTCATATGACACCTCAATCAGGAAAAATGAGCGAGGAATGACAAAGTTCTGTTTGTTTAAAGTAGTGCTTGCATTTCCCTAATTTTATTAAACGAATTCGTTTTCACTGGCTGCCTGTCGTATCAATAAACGAAATTAACAAAAGACTTAACTCCGTTTCGTTGACAATCAGCCGTAGACGAGAGTCTTCATGCATGGCTGATTGTCAACGAAACGGAGTTAAGTCTTTTGTCAAATCTGCTTTTTGCTACGGCAGGCACCCAGTGAAAACGAATTCGTTTGTTAAAATTATGAAAATGTAAGGGCTACTTTGAACAAACAGAACTTTGTTATTCCTCGCTCATTTTTCCTGATTGAGGTGTCATATGAAAGGGCAGAAACTCAACTTTCTAGAAATGTGAATTTTTCTTCGAAATTCAGGTACCGCCCGCCCAATGTCTTTTTTGGTTTCCTTCCTTCAAATTGCTTTTAATCAATCATGCGTGAAATATGCATCATCGGAGTAGCATCAACTGAAAGAAGAGACTCTAAGCTTTCCAAATATGTATCATTCATTAATTATGGTTGTGATTAAGTTATGATAAAACATCGATACTTCTCGGTTTCGTTTTTTCTGGGACGCACTGTATTTAGTCAAATGTATAGGATTTGGATATGGGCTGGAAATAAGTTTGAGCTTAGATTAAGTGATAGGTATACTTTTTGTTGCAGGGATAAAGTTAAGAATTTGGATAGCTCAGGGTTGACGGAACATGTGTAAAAAACAGGATGACTGACAATTACAACCAGGGTGCATTTAAAGTGACTACATACTACATATATCTTACCAAACAACATTAGTGCTATAAACTGCAGGGATTTGAACCCCATGCCTGATCGCTATAACTGTACAGAGACTTATGCACTGGACCACTTACGCCTCTATGTGAACTTTGGTTGATGTTCATCATTTTAGAATGTATTTATTAACTCATATGACTGGTTATATTTAATTGAGCTGCATTTGGGTTCGGAGAATCAAATAAATATTGAAAGAACTATCACCCTGGTTTATTATTTAGACACATCAGTGACATTGCATATGTGCTATACATTCACGACTGAAAGTATTCATTATACATGAATATGGAGGGTCTGTACATGTAGCTGTGCTTAAAAGTACACTGAATCTAGATTTAGAAATAGATTTTAGTATATCAAAATCCGTCAAACAATACAAAAGTTATGGATCGGAAACCAGATACACATATTTAATGAGCTATGACCCTTGACCTACATACTGGGAAATTAAACTTAGGCTGTGTTTTGATACCATGTACCTTCATATCAAATTTCATTAAACTTTGTCAAACATTACTCAAGTTATCGAATGAAAACCAGATTCGCATATTTAATGAGCTATGACCTTTGACCTACATACTCCGAAATCGAAATTAGCCTGCATTTTAATATCATGTACCTTCATATCAAATTTCATTAAAATTCGTCAAACATTACTCAAGATATCGAATGGAAACCAGATTCAAATATTTTATGAGCTATGACCTTTGACCTACATACTCCGAAATCGAAATTAGCCTGCATTTTGATATCATGTACCTTCATATCAAATTTCATTAAAATCTGTCAAACATTACTGAAGTTGTCGATTGGAAATCAAATTTGTTAAGAACGGACGGAAGGAAGGACTGACGGAAGGACAGAAGGAAGGACTGACGGAAGGACGGACGGCAGCGTTACTATATCCCATCTGACTTCGTCGGCGACGGGATAATAACAACAAGAATAACTAGACTTTAATTCGTCACTTAGACGAATTAGGTGATACGTATGATAATGGTTTACATAACGAATAATGCATTACACGATATATTATTTTGCTTCTCCCATTCATATGCTTCTCCCATTATGATCTATTCATATGTCAAGATTAAATTGTGTCTCCTTGATCATCATGGATCTAGGGAAGATAGATTGAAACAATATATGACCTTTGACCCTGTGCAGTAACCAGTTACACATTTGACTCTAATTTACATCATGAAGAACACCTTTTGACGATTTTATCTTATTCAAAGAAATGAAAATGTAATTGATAAATGATTAGCATCATTATGATAATGATGATCGTGATGATCATGATCATGATCATGAGCGCGATCATGACATCTTATTGAAAAAATGAGGGTTGATTTAGATAGCATATAATCTCAGCTACAACATACTCAAAAATCAACAAAATCCAAGCCGAAATAACGGCGATATTGCTCGCAAAAGACAGGAATGTAGACTCCAGATTTGAGAAAAAGTTATTTCCCATAGGGATTACACGCAAAAAGTAATGGATTAAGTGAAAATAGGGTAATAATAAAGTAAAAAGGGTTATTTATGACATTATTTGCGAATCTACGTGTTTAAATAATCAAAGGAGATGGTACAGTGAAGGTCAAAAGGAAAAAAAAGTGAAAAAAAAAGTGTTGGAGACACCCGGACTCTAACCAGGGATCTCGAGGTTGGAAGTCAAGTGCGTTACCGATATACCAAAACATCTCCCATAGCGATTACACGTAAACAGGAAATGGAATTCAGAAATCCTACTTTGCAAGTGAAATATGAGCATGATCCCGGCATCTAATCGAAAAATAAAGGGCACACTTGTGATAGCTCATTGTCTCAGCTACAACATATCCGAAGCTCAGCGAAAACTAAGCTAAAACAACGGAGATTTTGCTCGCGAAAGACAGGAGTGTAGAATCCAGTTTTGAGAAAAAGTCATGTCCCATAGAGAATACACGCAAAATGCGAAAAATTGACATGCCTCCTTTAATCGCAAAAATACACCATGATACTTTTGTCAAAAATAAAAATTGTGAACATTACATTTGTAGAAAATTGTCTCAGCTAGAACATATCAAAATTAAAAAGAAAATTGATCCATATTTACAGAGATACAATCAATTTTCCAAAAATATGCTGACGTCATAATATGCAAATTAAAATTTTGAGTTTGGAGGCCATTATGATGACGTCATGAGTTAATTGAGGATCAAATGAGACATGAAATCATATCTCCGACTCATAATCTATCTAAATATGACAAAATATTAGGAGTTTCTATCTATTCTAAAGAGTTACAATGAATTTTATATAGGCATGTTTTTGCCCATGTATTGTGGATAAAGATAACGCAAATCCGCGCGTGCTGTCAACTTTGACGGACGCTCATTGCGTTAATAAAAGGTGAACAAATTATCAAAATGCTTGGAAAAATGTACCGAATATGATGACAGAAAAAAATCGGCGATTCTATGTTGCAAAATGCCAGTACGCGCGAAAACGCGTGCGCATGCGCGTGTGCGTAATTTTTTTATCAAAAGCTCCATATGGCCTGAAACGTATGCAAAAAAAATTTGGGATGATTTAGAGCATTTTTAATTTTTGCGCGCGCGGACGAGCGCGCACGCGCGCATTTACGCACGTTTATTGACCTCAACTTGACCGGACGGATATTGATCTTAATCATGATAAATATGAATGAAAAATTATTATTCGTTATAAAGATATGATCATTAGTTGATTTTCACAAAATGGCGCCTGGATGACGTCACGATGACTTTGAGTCTTTGAAAAGTCACGCAGTTCTAAGTTAGACTAAGATCTATCATCATTGAAAGATTCATAACAATGGCTTCGTTCAGTCTTGAGATATCCTGCGAACAAATTCGAGGAAGAATAATAATAAATAAATAAATAATAAAAATCTTGACGAAATCAAAAGGTGATACGTCTACGTACGTATCACCTAATAACTAGACATATAATACTTGTTTGGAACAAGTATAGGTGGGCTGGTCAACTAAAATTTGAAACAAAATAGAGCAAAAATAAGCGAGATACTGCTAAAAAACAATGTCATGTAGATTAATGATGTGAACGAAATTCACCTTCCATAGGCATAACACGCAACTTAAGAAATTTCTGATATGTGCCCTTAATCGTAAGTTTTACTATAATGACGTAATCAAAATGAAAAATGGTGTGACTGAGCTTGTAGAGAATTGTCTTAGCTACAACATATCGAAATTTGGAAGAAAATCGATCAATATTTACAGAGATACAATCGATTTTCCATAAATATGCTGACGTCATAATATGCAAATTCGTATTTTGAGTTCCAAGGCCATTATGATGATGTCACGATACACTTAATGGCCAAATGAGACATGGAATCATATCTCCGACTCATACTGAATCTAAATATGAAAACAAATTGAAGGTCACTGCTCATTCCAAAGAGCTATAATGGATTTTTGTATAGGCATGTTTTTGCCAATATATGCTATGTATTAAAAGAGCTCGCGCGCACAGACATTTATCTTGAATTGACGCTCATCTTGTTATTAATGGTCATAAAGAGATAAAAATGGTATCAAATTCCTCGAAAAAATATGAGAAATATCATGAAAGAAAAAAAAATGGCGATTCTATGTTTTGTAATGGTGTTACGCGCGTGTGTGCGATTTTTAATAAAATGCTTAAAATGACTTGAAACGTATGCAAAATAAATTTGAGACGACTTTGAGCATTTTT